CCAAACATAAGGTTTCTCTTTCTTCTTCTCTCTAAACTTTGATTTTTATGAACGAGATGGCTGGCCGGCAGAACACAAAGAGTAAGCAAAATGGACGAAGAAGAAGATGAATAGTTGAGATCAGGGTTTTAAATCACGGTCCGAAAAAGTGATAGCGCCCGCGAAATAGGGGTTTTGCCGCCGTTCGAGTTACACGCTACACCCGCAATAATGCTCGCGACTGTCATAATCACGGTAAATTCGAAATGACTGAAAACGTTACTGCAATCGTGATTTAAAACCCTGGTTGAGAATCGAGATTTAGAGAGAGACAGAGAGCTCTTCTTTCATCCTTACATGGTAATTTAAAGAGAGAGGACCTTTAGTGCTGATATCACATCTAGGAGTAAGGGGCATATGAAAGACTTCAATAATCATTTTAGTGCTTATATCACCTCTCAATAATCATGTTAAAGAATTATGTAGGATTAAAATATATGAAAGACTTCAAGAAACTCTATAAAAAGCCAATATATATAACATGCAAAGTAAGATAATTTTACTCAAGAATTAATTATTTACGAAAATAACATGCATTCGATATTGTTTATTGATCTAACATCCATTTCTGTTTTATGGTAAAAGCCGCATTCTATAGAACACGCTTTACGCAGGTGGCAGTGGACGGAAGGCAATGGAGACTAGTGGGGTCATGGCCCCTCAAAATTTTAAAAAATTATATTTTAGACTTTTAAAATATTTAATTTTTAAATATTTTGAATACTCTTAATTAAAGTACTCCCATAATTTTTAAAATTTTTCATTAATCCTCTAAAAATTTTAAAAATTATAATTATACCCCATTTTGTTTTTTAAAAAATGTAAAGCGAACTCTTTAAAAATTTTAAAATTTTTAATTTAAACTTCTAATTTTTTAAAAATTTTAATTTCCCCTCCATACTTTATTACCAAGTTCCGCCACTAACAGGTGGCATTCCACTTGGCAAAAACGTTTTCTATAGAAAACGCCTTTTGCTTATGTGACTATTCACCTAGAAGACACTTTTTGCATAAAACGTCTCTTTTTAAATTTAAAAAATAATTAATTAATTAATTAATCTATAAAACATAAACCAAAAATATAATTCGATTATAACATAAAAATTTAATTCAAATATAATATTAAATACACGAAATTTAATTCAAATATAACATAAAAATTTATATTAAAATTAATATAACAATTAAAAATAAAATAATATAAATTAACGATGTCTTCTTTGTGAATGTGTTTCACATAGTGATGGTTGTCTATTTCGAGTGAGATTTCTTTCGTATATGTTACTCTTCAAAAATATCTTCATTCTCATCATCTTCATCAACATCAACTTGTTATGTTGATGTCGAAGTATAACCTTCGTGGAATAATGAATGCATAGGTGTGTGATCAACAATCCCACTACTTACTGAGAATTGCGAAAAATATAAAAAAATGACATCGGTGACTGGGTTGAATACGATTGTGGTGTTGGTGGAGGAGCACCACCCATCAGTACGATGCATATGAAGCAAATATAACCCTGTTGACTTGACATATAACCTAGCGAGCTCAACATCTAACCCTGTTAACTCGGTATTGTGTCACCATCATTATCCACTCGATGTGCTTCACTCCTCAATCAACACATGCTTGCCTTGTCTGTCAAAGTCATGCAAATTGTCTAGATTTACAACTGTTTCTAGAATAATGTGTGTGAAACCAAACTGACGAAACACACGGTTACTCGAATTCCGCTCATCAATGGTATAACAGATAAAAGTTACAATCATATGTCATATGTCTAATGGAACACTAAGATCAAGTGGGTGCAAGCCTTCATTTCTATATTTGTATAAGGCATCCATTGGAACTAAAAAAATATATTTTTATTATCAACGTATAAATTTATGAATAAATTTATGAATGTGATTCTAATTATAAAGACAATAAAAGTAAAAAGTAAAAATGTACATCTGAACTTGACTTTTGTTTAAATCTTGAAATTCATCAAAGATCTCAGATGATTTTTTATCGATAACCATCTATTTAATATAAAAAATATATAATAAAAATAAACTTATTTATAAATGAATTAATTATTGAAATTATCTTAGCAACAAAGAGAAGATAAATGACTCGTTCTTGATAAGCGAACATAAAAAAGACATGCAATAACACACCTATGATCGTAGAAGGAGACATCCTCCAATATAACTTTTTATATAATCTATCACTATACATTTCTCTAAAGAGAAAAGTTAAAATTGTCGATCTCAAACTGAACGTACCTGCTTCTTCAAAATTATGATGGTGACACAATCACATGACATGCACTTTGGTTACGAGATTTATCGGGCATCAAAACCTCTCATATAAACCATAAAATATAAGCACATGCAAATGCTTGTGTCTATTCTTCATAACAATGTTTGTCCAAGTCTTTAAAATTATTTTGGAGTTACGGTAACGATATTTAACCACGATTGAATTCATCCGAGATCTTTCTAAGACAATTGTAGGGCAAAGCACCCTAATTATCAACACCCACACCGCAGTGAACACGTCCATGTACCAGGAGTTCTAATTGCATTGAAACATCCTTTAAAGTCCCACTATCCACATGAAAGATGAAATGTGTGTCTCTTATCTCCACCTCTCGATTAGTGCAGAAATAAGGATGAGTTAAAATGTACAACTTTCAATTATTTGGGATACGTACCAAAATCCAACTTGTCTTAAGTAATCCCAAATACGAGTGGGTTTGGGCATCTTAATGTTATGAATAAATACTTCTAAGATACGATCATTAACCTAATTGGTAAAAAAATAATATATTAAAATTTGAAATATTAAATAAAACATAAAACATAATTAAATATTTATCAAATAAAATTTAATAAAATATTTTTATCATATTCGATTGATGAATTAAAATATGATTTGCATCCAATCGTAAAATATTATCTATTTTTTAACCGCACACATTGTTTTTAATTAATAAAGAATAACCAACAGGGGATGGTTCAAGTGGTAAACATCTTGGTATCACTTAAGAAATGTCTCGAGTTCAAGTTCTTATGTATGCAGAAAATATCTAATGAGAGATTCACCTACCAAAGTCAGGTGTGCGACGTGGGTCGGTCTAGATTAGTCAATGCGAAACTTTAAAACTAAGAGGATAACAAAAAAATTAATTAATAAAAAATTAAATAAATTTATTAAACAAAATAAAAAAAACTTACACCTCGAATCGCAGTTCGAATTTGCAGAAGAAAATAAGAGAAAGATATATTAATTTTTTGGGGTGTAATTTGTAAGAAGGGGAGGAGAGTTTATACATGAGTTGGGTGAGGGGGAAACGAGAGGGGGAAGGGGGCAGAAAGGATTAGGAATCCCAAAGAGTATTCTGCAGAAAGTGTCTCCCAGGTAAATTGCCACATAAGTAAAACACATGTTCTACCGAAAACGTTTTTATCGAGTGAGATAGCACCTATGCAAAGTGTATTCTATAGAATGCTCATTTTTGTCACATAATAAAAAATGTTAGATAGATAAATAATGGTAAATGAGTGTTATTTTGATTTTTAATTATTTTTAGGTGATTTTTAAGTTAAATTACCGTGAGATGATTCTGCGGTACAACACTTTTCTCGAGGAAATGAAATTTGAAACCATTGTTTACTAGTTAACACTAATGCTTATATATATATATAGTTAACTGGATCGGTTAACACCTTTTGTTTAGCTTATTCCTCATGTTTTCTTGGTAAAATCCTTATCCATTGAGTCTCCCAACTAATTTGACTGCACCAAACATCTCTAAGGATATTACTTTTATATGTATTATTAGGTTTTCAATTGAATTTTAATTATTTTCAATATTTTATATAAGAGATAAATATCAGATTTATACATCATTTTTAGTCCAGTCTAATGTATAATATAGAACATACATTTTGATTCAATTATACATCTTTATAAATAAATAACACAGACCACGCAACCTCGGTGGTTATAAAATTATTGTTATCCAAAAACTACCTTTTAGATCGGATAAAATAACATTTTAAAATAAAAAATATTACATTCTTCGTAACATTTTTAATGTTATTGAAAACCTTAGACTCCTATAATATAAATTCTTAATTGCAAATGAAAATATTATAAATTTACATAACTTTTAAGTAGAACAAAAAAATACTTTAGGTTAAAAATCATTTTAAACTAATCTTAGATTAAACTATCGCACACTCGTGTAGTACAGAAATCTTCTATTTTTCAACCGATAAGATTTTGAAATTTGTGTGATATCAAATTATTTTGGAATCAAGCTACTTTAACTTTAAATTATTATGGTATTGTTCTTTTAACATTGACATATGTGTTTATTTGGTAAATCCAATCAGGAAAATTCAATATTTACTTCAAAAACTAAATATTATATTTTTAATAATTAACTCAAAAATTAAACACCTCTACCTTACATATCCCAATACTTTTAAAATAAAATTTTTAATATTTATACCTTCAATATTTTCAAATAAAAGTTCTTATATTTATTTATTACTCCCTTAGTATGTTTTATTTTGTTCAGAAGTATATTATTATTTATCAATAATAAATAATTCGTTTACAACAAATATAATTCCTAGATATTTATATTAAACCATTTATTTAATTTTTTATTAATCTGAAATTAATACAATATACTATTATGCACAGGCAGAAGACACCTATTTAAACTTAAGACATTTATAGAGAACAATACTCCAATATATCATTGAGATCACTTAATAGGTTGTTAACTATTATTTTTAACTGATGATTTTGTAGAGTGACACCTACGCTTGTTTCCATATTTGCATCCAATTCTTATCATATATATCATTTGGTATATCATTTATCGCAATTATAGAGTGACACCTACGCTTGTTTCCATATTTGCATCCAATTCTTATCATATATGATTAGTGGGAAATGAAGGACCAAACAGTATAATAAACCACGGAACAAAGTACTCTCCAAAGGCCCAAATTCTTAAGAAAAGCCAAGAAGACTTACCAAAACCAAGAGGCCCTTCCCTGCTGTTGCAGTCATTAGTCGATATTGCATCTTTTGTAGAATATTTGTGGCAAAAGAAAGGCGCATGATGATGATTTATCTTCATTGAATTTGAACCAAAAAACCATTCAGAGCTTTCAACCTACACTACTTTCATGCCGAACATTTCATGCATATTGAAGTAACTGGTGCTTCCACACCATTTCTTACCAAAAGATGGACCCTGCAAAGAATGTACATTAGTAAAGGGTTTTCCAAGATGAATCAGGATTTGAGATATAACCCACAGATCCATAAACTTGATGAATTTCAACATTATATTGTGACGATTCTTTTCCATTTTCATCAGCATTTTTCAAAGCAACAAAGCTCTCTGCCATATCCGAGTTTGAGTCAGTTCCCATCTCAATACTATCGTTTTCAACAGCAGCTTGGCATATCATATTCGACAATTCAACATTTTGCAACCTTGATACTTTCGGCAGTTTTACTGACAGAACAGTCTGTTAAGAAAGTCGTTAAATTTTCTGAAGTATCACCTGATATGCCCCTATCAGATGACTCAGCCACACCAAAGTCTGGCCTAATCAATTTTCTCTTTTTGCATTGAGGAGCTGATGCACTGTTATTTTGAATTTCACCATAGTTTCTAGCCTTACCATCTTCAAGGTTCTTTCTCGCTGCACTACGGCATCTGAAATCCACAAAAGTAGTCTCTAGATTCTTTTGGCAGCTGTTCTCATTGCTGAATGAGGTAGGCTTCACATTTATCTTGTTTGGGATCATAGCCGAGTCAGCTTTACTGGTGTCCCATTTATATATAGTCTTCACCCATTGGTGATGGCTTCGCTGCAGCATGTCCATGACATCATTCACTGAATTATGCCAATTGCTGTCGGCAGTTCCAGGAGAGGTGTTACTTACTCGTTCACATTCTTTGTGAGGGAAAGACAGGCGAGAAAATACACTAGTCCTTTTCTTCTGGTGATCAGCATACAAGCATTCAGGATTACGACAATATGCAGCTGGACTTAATGAAGTAACTTCATCCCTGTATATAGCAAACCTGCCATCCTTGGTTGCTCTGTTATCATTATAAAGACAGTGACCATGCTGATGACATTCATAACCAAATTCTGCATCATTTTCACACTCTGGCACTTGATAATCAAGTTTATCTTGTAGTAATGCAGTATACCTGTCAGAAAAGGCAACAGAAGGAACCTCACGAGGATAGGTTCCAAAACATGATGACCGCACATTTACCCTGACAATATCTCTAATTTCAGAGGAAAGAACGGGAGATAAAGAGGGCTTTAGAAGTGATAGATCTCCAGCGTGATCTTTGTTAGAGTATTCAGCTACTAGATTATCCATATGGTCATCAATTGGCATGCTAGTCCTGCTGGAGCCTTCATACTGGTCACAGTAAGGCAATGGAATGTAGTCCATAGAGTTAGAGTTGACATCTGCAGTTATGGTTGTTCTATTCTCTAACGATGAAGGAAACGATAGATTTGTGGAAGAAACAAGGATGTTACCGACAGAACTATCATGAGTAGGATATTCCTGCAGTGAAGGATGATTGTGATAGAACCCCAAAGATAAGGACCTCGGATAATTGCTGCCATGGGCACCAAGATCATAAGGAAGAGTAGATGTAACAATTGAATCTCCGGAATTCAATAGATAACTAACATTGGAGTTTTCCATCTCCATTGAGGGAAGGAACCTTGATGATGGTCTAGTTGGGTCATTGATAAATGGATCTGTTTCTAAAACATGTTTGCTAGAATACATCTGTGGATTAGCTTCAGGCTGAGAAGAACTATGATTTGCTATTGAGACCATTGGCAGAAAACCATCATCCTTGTAACGTTTTCTTTCATTCCTATCACTATCTGCAAACCTATCATCATTGGAAATGCTTCTGGAATTACCTGAAGAATGCTCAATTGGAACTGCTGGTTGAAGCTTAATGCCAGTATTCCATTCATTGTCCACCTTATCATTTGTGGCATTTTCACCATCATCTATGTTTCGACCAAATTTATCCCTCGGATCCTGAGGACTATCATTTAAGAAGGCATCTGCTTCATATCTGACATCCTTGAATGTGTCAAATCTGCCACCACCGCTTGCTTTATCATCATTATAGAAAGAATCCCCTCGGTGCATAGTAGAGATAATGTTCACATCACAATCACCTCGTACACGGTTACTGATAGGAGACTTATGAACTAGTCTTCTGTTTTTACCAGTAATTTGGCCATCTGGGGTTGCAACTTCTCTTCTGGTCAACTGTCTCTCAGGTTCCTGATCTTTCATCCTCTTGAAACTGAACAATGATAGAAGCCTTCGAACCTACAAAGAGAAAGATCAAAACATTTCTGAAAGGTAGTATATCAATTTTTCAGGTTGGTTTCGGATAGAATAAAAACTACGGACCTGATCTTCGGATAGTCCAAACCTAAACTTGTTTCTTGAAAAATAATTTTCACGGATAGCATTACAAAATTCATTTTCACTGAGCGAATGACAGTTCCACAAAGGCTTGAATTTTACCTGAACGAAATTCTGTAAGGATTAACACCAAATCCGCAAAGAAGCACATAAAACACAAAACTTATTGATACCTGTGCAGGGAATTGCATCCCTGATGAACTGAATGCATGAGGTACTATATTAATTGCACCATCAGAGCATGCTTGAAACACGCCATGCAGTTCCCTCCTCTCAAATTCAAACAGAAAGAGAATCATCCCCGATTGGACCTGTTTCACAAAGTGCAACTGCGAACACGGGAGGCCAAGCAATCCTCTACTTAAACATTCTTTCTTGGTTGCTTTGTTCGACATGAAAATCGCACCAAACTCAGGTCTACTTCCAGGAGCAATGCTCTGTTCGTCATCCATTTTGCTCAACCTATCAAATAATAATAGAAGTGCACATGATTAAACTTCTTTATGTTATTTAGTTTTAAAAAAACAAGCGTCTGCTTTGACAAAGCTTAAGTTATATTCTGTCTCCGTGTTCTTTCAAGACATATTTAGCAGGAATTGACGAAGGAGCTGAAAATTTCAAATTCTCATATAATTCAAATGTTATCTTCTTTTTTTATAATGATGATATTCGTACCTCCTAAAATTTTATAATTCCAGACTCTAAATTCCTAATATAACTTCCTAGAAGCTCCTGACATAAAATCTGTCATGTATTCAAACCAAAGAAATTGATAATGTAAATTAATTTTTTATCACTAACAAATCATAGTTGCCAGTATTCATAACTAAAAAACAATCCTATTTTTATTTATGTTCTTTCAAGAAAAGTACTTACGACAGAAACACTAATTATTTCAAGTAAAATAAACTAAACTCAGCTAAATGCACCAAAAGAGTACATAAATAACAATAAACCGAAATAGGAAAAAAACTTAATTTCTTGATATTATTTTACTGAGAAAAGCATTAACATAACTAAACACGATGATGATAATAGTAAATAATAATAAAATAACTCTAAACCGGGAAAACTAAGAGCCTGTATTAGGCGTAATTCAGAAACCTCAAAATCGAAAGAGCAAAGAGCGCCAGTTGATCGCCATTGTTTTAATCAAAATATTAGCCGCAGAATCGTAAATTTCATCACAAGATTATTATAGAAGAAAACAAAAGATTTGAGAAGAGGAAGAGTTACCGAAACAGAAGTTTTTTTTCCCCCTAACACGTCGATATGTTTTGAAGAGAGAGAGAGAGAGAGACTTTTTTTCTTTTTTGCCTCGCAAGAAGACGAGAAGCTGATTTGCTTGTTCCCCACTTGTCAGGACAGGTGGGTACGGTCTGGCATTTATTGCCATGCTTCAGAAGCAGCGGTTTGCAGTTTTCTTCTGGGCTGGGCCCTTTTTAATTAATAAGACAATTTTTACCTATAAATATTTAAATAAGAACATAATTTTAGAGATATTTTTTTTGTTTAAAAGAACTTCAATTATTTAAGGATAAATTACGAATTTGATAACTAAATTTTCATGCAATTCCTATTTTACTAATCATACTTTCAAAAATTTTAATTTTCTCCCTAAACTTTATATATTGATTTTTTTGTCACTCCGTCGTTAAATAATTAATAGTATTATGACGTGAAAATTTATACCAAAATGACATAGTTTTGGATTTCTAAAACATTTAAATTTTGACCAAAATGACATCGTTTTGGTCAAAATAAAAAATTATATTTCATTTTTTCTCTCTTTATTCTTCTTCTTCTTCATCTCATTTCTATTTTCTCTACTGTGAAAGTTGTGGAAGCATGCAAGGAAAACCAAAAATATTTTTTTAGTATTTTCGTCTTCTTTATTTTTCTCTTTTCCCTCTTTATTCTTCTTCTTCTTCCTCTTTATTTTTTTGATATTTTCATTTTTGGATTTCAGAGAAAGAACAAAAACGATTTATTGTGATTGTTTGGTTCTTGGAACAAGTTTATAAGATCTCCATTGGAGTTGCTTGTAGATTTTGATGGCTGCCAAATGAATTTGCTGATTGGGTTAAGGTTTGGTATATGATTTTGGGTGTAAATTTGGGAGTTAAGGTTTTGTGGTAGGATTTGGGGGTTAGGTTTTTTTGTCTGATTAATTTTTATTTTAGTAAATGGAAATCTTATGATAAGTTTTAATATTAAAATAAGCCACATCAAGAAACTGTTAGTGATATAGCGACGGAGTGACAAAAAATTCAATGTATAAAATTAAGTGAATAAATTGAAAATTTTAAAAGTACAATCACTAAAATAGGAATTGTATGAAAGTTTAGTTGTCAAATTTGTAATTTGCCCATTATTTAATAATAATTACGTAAACACTACATCTCTATAAACAAGTTACATCTTAGGTTCAATACCTTTAAAAGTAAAAAAAATAAAAATTCCTCTCCTTAAATAAGAATTGTTAAAAAATATAAAGGCTTAAATACATGAAAAATACTCCATTATTATGAATATTTATTTATATGGATATATATATTATAATTAAAATTATATATATTATATAGGGATGGGCATGGGTTAGGTTTCGTTCAACCCGATCCGACCCGAAATAATAAAAAAAATATTATTTTTATTCAATAAAAATAACGATTTAATTTAAAAAATATATAGAGGGGTATTATTGTAATTATTCCTAAATATATAAGGTAAAATTATATTTTTGGGTCGGGTCGGAACCCGTCGGGTTTGGGTCTCATGCCCATCCCTAATATTAAATAAGGTTTTAATATATTTTATTATTAAAATTAATTTTATTTATTTATAAACTATTATTATTTAATTAAATTTTTTATGATTTATCATATGAAAGACGCCTGTGAAAAATATTTAAAAAATAAAGTAGGTTAGTTTAGAATATAAACATATAAATATTAAGATTTAAACCCAAAATAATATCAAGTATCCTTAAATTATATTTAATAAAATAAAATAAAATAAAATAAAAATATTTAAAAATGTATTAACACGTTTATAATGGAAATCCTAAATTAAAAAAATAAAATACTAATATTTTACTGATATTTACAAATTTCACATATATATCAATAAAAGGTCACAAATTACATATAAAAACTAATTAATATAAAAAATAAGATTCATAATAATATAAAATATAATATATTTAAAAGATTAAAACAAATTTATTAATCATTTATTAGTCATATAGTCACTGTACAAATTGTAATGTTATTGAAATTTAAGATATTAAAAATATACGAACTAAAATTGATCAAATTAGAGTATAATGACTAAAACCACAATTTTCACATGGTATTGGTGTTAATATTTATCACAACAAAGATTGAAATTTTAAGTGACAAACAACTTTATTGTCATAAAAAAATATCAAATAACAATTATCACTTTATATGTCATCACTATCATATTATTTTTTTTCAAGAAAATAATTAATACCGTTTCCGTATTCTAAAAGTATTAAAATTTATATGATAATGGAATTTGTACCATAATTATAAACTTATAATGAGAATTTAGCTATGATAAAACTACTCATAATCACTATCAGTTTGTCACTGAAAACCTTTATTCTTTTCATGTCTCTGAACAAGTGTAATTATAAATTTTTAATTTTAAAGATGATTAACTTCAAGATTTCAATTTTGTGAACATAATATGTTATATTATCTTTGAATATTTTTATAAAAAAATTAAATTAAACTTTGAAATTGAAATTGAAATTGACAGAATATATTCTATATTATTTGACAAGCAACTTTCTATTACATTAGCTGATTAGAAAAATATTGTTAAAGATTTATATCATGTAAAATTAGTAGAAGTATGAAGCATGTTTCAAAGACAATTAAATGTTGATATCATATTTTATTTTCAATGCATTGAAAATTTTCAAATACTTTTTGTAAACACATCTTAGAGTAAATATTATGTGTAGACAATGTTTTTATCCGGGTCTAAAAAATATTATATTATATTATTATTATTATCTTATATCATTGTTATTATTAATTTATATATTATAATTATTTTGCAAGCCCTTATTTCGGTTGACATTTTCTCACAATCACTACCCCACCACTAAAAAAACCAACCTACTCCACTAAACCCACATGCCCCCATAAATCAAGGGGAATAGTGGAAGCAGTTACTTTTCGCCAGAGAATTGAACTATCTGCTCCCACTTTCATCACTTTCAAAAACCTACTCCAAAATATTAACAGGGAACCACCAATTATTCGTGGGGACATGCCCTCTTCCATGAACCAGAAACTCAAGCTTTAGTTTTTATTTTTTAGTAATAGTTTTGTTGAAGAAGGTTGGACTTTCTTTTTGACTGGCGTTATGCTTGGAGGAGCTACAGTCCACATGGGAAAGGATCTCCTCGACGCCGCAACATATCACCTCATCGGGGTCGCAGCATCAGCAGGGTCTCGTTAGAACTTGTGGTTTTGCGCGGCTTCCACTGGGCAAAGTGTTTCAGCCGCCAAAATGGGTGCATTGGACACCATTCTGTGATGGCTTGCTCTAAGCAGCATATGGAACTGGGAAGTCCCTTTCTTCATATTGTTATCCACTTTTATTTATCTGTTACCTTCATATGTTAATTGAGTTATTATGGTAAATTTATCTTTTTGTGATTTGATGATTTTAAAGGATTTCTATGTTTTGTTTGATTTGTGATTTTGAAGTAAACCAGCATCCTTTCTCCCCTTTACTGCATCTTAGTGAACATGGTTTCCTCACTATTGCTTCTCTGCACCACCTCTTCTTCTGGTCGTCGCTCCTGCATGTTGTAGAAGCTTGAGTTGCATGTTGAATTCACTAATAGTAACAAACAGATTTTGGTTGCAACCTTGTTTGCGGTATATGCATCTGCAACAAAGCTTCTAAATCTTTTAAGACGATGAAGCCAATAATTGGTCTACTGTTAGCTTCTCTGCACTTCGTCATCTATTCTATGATTGTTTAATATTCAGCCCAAAACTGAATTGTGCAAGACCCCTCCACAGTCGCCCATCTTCATCGAAGAGTTTGATCTAGCTTTGATCGTTTCTTCCATTGTAGCTGATTTTGGAAGGTGTCAGTATGACTTTTATCATGGTCTTGTCTAGTACTACTAGTTGATGCTGGGTAGGATGCTCGGCATATTTGCTTGGAGACATATTTGGTGTTGATGGTATGGAACATTTTATTTCTGCGTCATGTCTTCAGCATGGAAGCTGCTACAACCTGCAGCAAATACTTTGATTATCATCTTAAGTGATGGATTATATGCAGTTCTTCGAAGGTAAGTATCAATTTTCTAGTCTGTTTTGTATATTTGCTTGTCAGTTTTAGTACTCTTATTTCCTTATAGTTTTCAACTCTAAGCATGTGGGTATTACATTGAAAGCCAAGTTTACTGTCACTCTACTTTATTCAGATTTTTTATTTTTATTTATTATTATTATTATTATTATTATTTTTATCTTTTTTAATTTAATTTTATTATTTTCCCTTTAATTTATTTAATATTTATTTATTATTTCTTATCCTCATTTTTTTTTTGATACTTTCAATCATTTAAAGATAAGTAATTTGAATTGGGTTTTTAAATTTTAATTTTAATTTTTAATTTTCGCAATTAAGATAAGCGACCAATTAAAACGATACCGAAAGGACGATTCAAGGGTGTTAATCCTTCTTTGACTGTAACTGACTCCCAAATCTGACATATTTATGGTAAGACGCATATCAGGTAAGATGTGTCCGATCAATCTAAATAATATTTTTAAATGATCGGTGACGGTTTCAATATTTATTCAAAGTCGAAGTTTAATTTCGAACCACCCAAAAGACGATTATGACATTATGACTATGTGAAAAGGAGTTTCTAATTTTCCTGATCAGGACTCGCACACTTTAAGTTGAAAAAAATGTTTCTACCCCCACCATTTCTTAACCACATAATTTTTGGACTTCTATTACCACATATTCAAATTTAAACTAGGATGTACGATGCACTGCGGCACAAATATATAGACAGATACAGGTTATGGAAGAATCAGCACGGACCAAATTCTGTCAAAGATTTCTTAAGTTATGGTTGGCCTAGGCAATTCACCAAACACAAAATGAAGGCAGGTAGTCAACAGTACAAACTGAAAGAACCAAGAGAGTAACATACCTTGTATAAACAATCCACTATCAAAAGATCCAATTGTCCAGCACCATTTTTGGAAATAACTGATCAAATACAATTCATGCCGAAGTTTATTTACCATGAAAACTCAATTCAAAAGCAAATCAATAATATAAATAGAAAAAGACATAGGAGAGCAAAAACTTCGACGTGAGAGAACATCTGAACATGTGCTTTCCTTTCGCCAAGTTCCTCTCAGCATAAAAAAAGATAAGAACACTCAGTAAAAGGATGATCTCAAAGCATCTTTTCTTCATTTTAGGTCAAGTTAAAGTTTCCTGTCTGTGACACTTGCTGGACAGTGGTCTCACTAAGATTACGACCTATCATCTGTAAGAATAAATTAGAGATATTCTCCCCCGTGCATCACCTAAATCAAAAGTATGACCAAATACTTGAATAAATTAGAGAGGGCAGAGATGTTAAATTATCATAAGAGACAGGAGAATAGGAGACTTACTGGCAATGGAAAGAATTTTAGTCCCGATGCAATAAATGGTTTGTCACAGTGCTCCTCAATTAATGAAAGCAAGGATGTGGACCATCACCTCAACTTCACAAAGACTAACATGACTGTCATTTATATTTTTAAATTGCCATTTCAACAATATCTTATTTTCTATAAAGATTTATTCAATAAATACAAGTTAATTTAGTATAGAATGCATTTCTATCAAACACATTGCACTATCAGTTTTATTTTGTATGAGTAATGTGATTCTTAAATATTTTCAGAATGCTTGCAATATTTTTTGCCGTGCTCAATACAGTTGCTTTTGCAAGTTAATTGTGAAGATCTGTGCATGACTTTTGCATGAAAGTCATTACTAAATTAGCAGCAAACAAGTTACCAAAGAAATTTCATAAATTGTTTAATTAATATCAAGATAATGTACAATATCATACACAAATGAAGGCTTAGTTTGGTTTTGATCACTTAACTATTTTCTTTCAAAATCATACCAAAGTTTTAGTTTGGTTTCATTTTAGTCACCATCCGTTAAAAAATTAAGGCTTAATACAAAAATAAGTGCCTAAACTATATCCAAAATTGACATTTGGTGTCTAATGTTTTATTTGTTACATTTTTAGGTGCCTATCGTTAAAAAATTAAGTGATTTATATTTTTTGATTTTTTTAAAATAAAATATTATTTAAAAATATTTTCAAAAAACCTGAACATTACACGTCTCACTTAACTTTTTTTAAACGGTGAGCACCCAAAAATTGTAACGGAGAAAACATTAGGCGTCCAATTTTAATGAAAAATTATTTAGGCATCATAAATCAATTTTAAGTATAATTTAAACACTTACTTTTAAATAAACTAAAAGTTAATAATAACATTAATATATCACCACAAGATAATTCTACGTCATCATCGGCGGTATTATTGTATTCCATGAGTCTCCGGTGGAGGTCTCTATGTTGCTACAGAAAGATATTTTAGATTCTAGCTAGAACCTTTGTTCATGTTTCTATTTCAATCTAAAAATAATAAAATAAAATATCTATTTAAAAGTAATAAATGAGATCAAAAAACGAAAATTCCACTTCAATCCTCTATTTCATCTTCCTTTGCCTCTCAAGACCATCGGATTAGAAATCACAATTTTTTTTATAGTAATAGTCTTTTCAAATGTAGCAAAGAAGTTGTTTTTAAGAAGAAAAGTTATAAATCATAAAATGGATAATAATAACAATGATAATAATAATAATAATAAAGCAAAAGACAGATTTTTCACTCAGCCACTCTCTTTCCATTTTATTTGTTCATAAACAAAATTGATAGGTACAGACAGGCACAGCAGCCCCAAATCATACATATTCTAATTGCTAAGGCATCCAATAGGTGCAAATTGTATATTGCATACAATGCTTTTAAATCTCATCCACTATAATACAAAATATTTGTATACGGTATCAATATCCAACACATATTAAGATTCCGGTATGAAATATATGATCCTCCAAATATATGAAAATTACACTTTTAAATAAAAACTAATATTATAGTTGGAAGAAATATGGGCATATAGCCCCTATAAAATTGCAGGTTATACTAACCTCCCTTTTCCTCCACTTTTCCTGCATCTCCTGTTGTCCAAACAATATCTTTTAACCCAGCAGAGAGATTATTATAGAACTGTATATTTAAGAAAGCAAAATGTTAATTCAAGGTAATTTAAAGCGGTTAAAGTACACAAATGGTCTCCGACTATTAAAAGTTTAAAATAGTCCCTCGACTATTCATATGTTCTAAGTTTGTCTATTTCTATTAAAAAATTGACAGTCATTTGAGTTGGACGTTGAACTATTGATCCTAAAATTGTTTGAGCTTTTTTTTTTTGTGGATCGACTTTTCGTTTACATTATATCGTCAAGTCAGTGCTTGAAAGCAACGACGATGCCAGTAAACAACTAGACATCATTAAAATATAATTTTATCATATCTCAATCAGCAGATTAACGTCCATCTCATATATCCGTCAATATTTTAAAGAAAAAAACATGAGTCTAAAATATATGAATAATCGGGTGATCATTTTATAACTTTTAATAGTCGATGAACTCAACAAAACAACGTCATATAATCAAGGGAACATTTTGTAACTTTTAATAATCGGGCCTCAACAAAACAACTGTATATAGTCGAGGACCTTTGTATACTCTACCCATAAAACGAACAAGCAGGTGTACTAGGAATAATGGAACACGAATTTGACATGCTTTGCATAGGTTTACATGATAAGCTTGATCATGGTAATCGGAAAAGTATTGAATGGAAGTGCCTACTTTATTAACACAGCAGTGAAAATAGGACTATACCGTGTGAAATTCCAATGTATCTCCACCGGACTTTCGAAGTTCAACCACGCAAAGTGAAGGAGCCACCTCAAAAATCTGGAAAGGGAAAGATAGATCGGATCGAAAACCATGTTCAAACAACTTTTGATGAGGTGAAACCGAAATTATGCTCAAAAGACTAAGATTGAAACAGAGATACCTCTGTTGTTACAGCCAAACGACCCTTGCGCCCAGTTTTTTCTCCCACAAGCTTCATCTGAGATTGGGAAAAAGAAGGGAATTCATCATAAACGAGAAGCAAACTGATCCATCAAATTTCTTGAGAAGATAAAAAGCAGTCAAAACTATGGGGCTACAAAGAGATTAAAACCTTGTAGTTATTTTTCTTCACACCGAAACCAATGGGCATCGCAGCTGCTTCGATTTTTGAGATTATCTCATTAGCAGGACATTTTGATGTGAATCTTGTTTCCCGTTTAACAAGTCCCTATAGTCGGAGGAAATTGCAAACCACTTAAAATTATAAGGATATGCAGTTCATAACATGTGAATTATCAATGAAATGCTTCAAAACGGTTAAAAACAATTTATACAGGTGAATTATCAATGACTGTTATATCTTTCATGGCTGCCAACCAAAGGGGCTTTCACACTACACCGGATGAATCAAAATGTGAGATTCTCGAGGGTCATATTTCCCATCTTGTGCTTAATATATCACATGCTAAGTAACAATAGCTAGCTAACTTACCATTTGCTTCTCGAACAGACTACCGAGGTTGAGGCCCTGCGATGTTGAGATAAGTTCAAATGCATTCATAGTAGCAGGTACAACAGACCCTTCTTCTCGCTGTTCGACTACAAAGTTTTGAGAATCCTGCAACATAGATCATGTAAACAGACTCTTACTCATTCGTTGCATCAGCACAACAAACATGTCCGATATGTGAAAACCCACAACTCTTACCCCTAATTCATTGAAAATGGCATCTACATCATCAAGACTAACATCAGCTTGCTCAAACTTAGGTTGCATATAACCTTTCTTAAACCACTCATTCTCAATAATCTCAGCAATAGTTATCCTCTGGTTCAATCACAAGTGACAAGTAGTGAAAATCACATCCAAAGACAAAATTAAAGGGAACATCAAGGCTAGTAAACTTTGGTGCAAAATGAACTAAGAAATACCACGAGAAAAAATGGAAGTAGGAGAAAGAAAGAATGGGCAAAGGGAAAGAGAAAAGAACTTACAGTCAATGGATTAGGGTCTAGGATTCTCTTGATTAATTTCTTTGCACTTGTGGAGAACCAAGGAGGACAATTGAAGTCGGCCTTAAATATCTACATCCACATGATAAATTCCTTAAAGAGAAATTATTCAAACACAGAAGGTAAAATCAAGTGCAAGATGGTTGATCAGCAATATGACAGCAAGTTGAGCATAGATACAAACAGGGCAGATATCTGTTTTTCTGGGCTTATTAGTATGCACATGAAGTTTAATTATTGATGTTTCCAAGGTACTGTCCTACCTGGATCCATGGAGAAGTGATGGGGTTGCCAAGCCAACTACCACACAGTAACTAAGACTTGCAATATTTCCATTTATATTTTTAAAAAAATCATTTTATTCTTTAGAAGTAACAATATTGATGGACACTGGCTAACAATAGGAATATAGGGTCCGGATAAATATTTATCAGGGAGAAATTTATCATTTCAAGAATATCACATCATTTGATTCTTCAATTTACTTATGTCAATGGTGATTTATAAGTAATAAGACATGATAGTTTAGCAAAATTGTTTTCTTTAAAGTAAAAGAAAAATAACTTTGAAATAAATTGAGAGAACAGCCACCTTCTTGTATAAACCCATTAAATTGGGGTCCTCAAAAGGCAAGTAGCCTGCCATTAAGACAAAGAGTATTACACCACATGACCAAAGATCTGCCTTAGCTCCATTATAGCCTTTATTGTTGATCACCTAAAGAGTGATAGAAGAAAACAATAAAGAAAAGCTAATGGAGCGTAAAGAATGAAAAAAAAATGCAGATATACCTCTGGAGCAACATAATTTGGTGTTCCGCAGGTTGTGTGAAGTAATCCATCATCCTATATGAAAAGGATTAAGATAGTTTTGAATTATCTTATCAGTGTACTACAAAATGTTGCATGATAAATAGTCATCCACCAATGTGGTAGGAAATGGAAAACCCAACTATAAAGCACTTTTGCTGTCAGTCATCTTCTTTTGCCGACCACAAGTTTCTAGTTCTCAAACAAGCAAAAAATCACACACATGCAAAGTAGCTAAGTGTAGTATAATACAATAAAGAACAAGCAGCCATAAAAGTAATTCATAACGAGTATAAAATATTAGAAAAATATTATCCTTGACAGGGAGAGATAAAGCAGCACACTCACTCCAACTTGCTGAGGTAAAGCACTCAAACCAAAGTCCGAAACTTTAAGAACTCCATTAGCATCCAGCAGCAAGTTCTCTGGCTGTAAATTACAAAACACAGCTCTCCTGTATAAACTTACACATTTAACTGTTTTAGGCAATTGGAAAATGAGCACAAAAAATATCCCACACCTTCAGGTCTCGATGGTAAACGCCTCTGCTATGGCAATAATCCACAGCATTAATAAGCTGTTGAAAATACTTTCTAGCCTCATCTTCCTTAAGCCTCCCTCTGCTAGCCTGGCACAATAAGATAAGCAGGATACAATGCCAGATTAATATATGGTATTCAAATTCTGAACAGCTCAGATGTTATTCCTAGTTGCACTTTTACTTTTCCCAAAATAAAACATAAAGCTATACATTTGATGTCTTACAATTTTGTTAAATAGTTCACCACCAGTTATGAATTCCAGGACAATGTATATCTTTGTCTTGCTAGCCATCACCTACACCGAGAACATTTCTAGAAGTTAACAAGAAGTATAGACATAACATACTTATATTAGTTGCAAAGCCAAGTAGAGTCCTCTTCTTACAAACAGTCAAGATTCAAAAGCGAGCAAATGCAGGATATAAGAAAGATACGCAAGTGATAAATCAAATGACTAGATTAAGATACCCAGAGAAAAGCTTGCAACAAACCTCATACATGCGGATGACATTTGGGTGTCTAATGAGTTTCATTGTTGAGATTTCACGTTTAATCTGCAAACGACAAAGAAAAAGGAAAAAACTTAGCACATGCAAGGGAAAAAAAAAGGAAATGAGATTCAGTGGGGGTTAAGAAAATATTGCCATCCAAGTATCACACTGACTACGGAGAAAAATCAAGGGGCATCGCGTGTAACAATGCAAAAATAATTTCTTTACATGTATAATTTCAAAAACCTGGAGCTTGGAACACTGTAGAAAATACCAACAATCTTTCATTCACTTATAAGTTGAACTGTACCTTCTTTTACAAGATATTACCCAATCCCCAGAAACATAAAAAATTTGCAGATTTTAAAACATTGGATTATATTTTCTATTCTAAAAAATTATAGGGACCAGTCAATGAAAAACTATTAAGATTGTTTCTTATTGACAAATTAGATTTGACTCATATTTTTCCACATACCCATTTGTTTCTAATTCCTGAACGGATCACTAAATCGTCTCATTCTCACAATTCTTAATTGAATCATAAGAAAAATAAATTAAATAAAAATAATAAACTGTTAAAAAAATGAAATCAAAGTCAAATCAAGGTTAGCATACTGATAAAATCCAAAGCTAAAGCAATTATTATGAACTAGGAACATAAAAATCATCCGAGTAACTGATCATCAGTAATTAGTACAAGAAATCAACCAAACAGTTAAACATTACAAAAGAGAATTCAAATCAACATAAAATTAAGATTCCGTATAAAGAAAAACTTCACAAATCAAATCAACAGTCAATTAGTGTAATTTAAACAAACAAAAAAAGTACCTGACCGATCATCTTATGCTTCAAAACTTTCTCCTTATCAACGATTTTGATCGCTACATTTTCTTCGGTTTCAATATTCCTCGCAAATTTAACCTTCGCGAATGATCCTTCTCCCAACGTCTTTCCGAACACGTACTTCCCCACATGTGTCTTGTTCGTTGCACTCGTGCGATTCGCCATCTCTTTCTCCGATGTTCCTTTTTTTTTTAATTTCCCTTAATTTTCTTTTTCGAAAATAAAACAAAATAACCCTTTTTCTCTGTTTCTCCTAGAGCCTGCAATTAATCAAACACCTCTTCTTCTTGCATGGTTGCCGTACCTGAGACTTGGTCACCCTCATTCTCTTCTTCTCTCTCTCTAATAAGGCGAAATAAGAAAACAAGCATCTATTTATAAAGTACAAAACAGGTAAAACTTTACGACTCGATCATCGAGCGGAAAGTGATGGAGAGGAAGAAAGTAGAAGCAGTGGGCGAGGAATCAAACGTGGTTATTGAAATCTTTTTGGATTAATCAACGGCTGAGAATCGGGTCGAGAAAGAGATTCGAAAGTTGACCATTTTTTTATCTGTGCGTTAGCAAATGTTCCTCGAAAAGAGAAATGTTAATCGTTCTACCGCCAAGGTTTATTTGCAGGAAATTTGAAGGAGATTGGCTTAGAACAATGGAGTCACGGAGGTACGAGGTTTTTTGTCGAAAAAATAATTGAATAAGAGTAAATAATGGAGGAGATTAGGTGTCGCAATCAATACAAAAATGATTTTTAAATGTTATATGACTAGATTATGTGAATGAATATGTTTCTTAAAAGAATAAAATGTACATGTTCAAAAATAAAGAATAAAATGTATTAGATGATATAATATGTATAGTTGTCAAACTATTTAAATAGTTAAATAATGTTGGTTAATTTTAGAGATTTTAAGTTTGAATATAATATTTATAAAAAGTTTTAAATATTTATTATCGTATAATTGATAATTTTCGAACATATATTATTTTATAATAATTTTATATTAATAAAAAAACAAACATATTTAACTTTAACAGGCATATCATACAGGGCAAACTAATATACGGTAAGTAAATTTTTATTTAAGCTTTGTATAACATATTTTAGTGATTTAATCTTGAAAAATACAAAGATAGAAATTATATGATTATTTTGGTGATTTTGTCACGTTTAACGAGCACAGATGAATACCAATAATGATGAGCACTAATAATTTAATTTATAAGACTTTAAAACTATAAAATATTCAACGTATAATTATAAATTAGTTAAAAATCTAAAAGTAAATTATTTAAAATAAAATATTAATTATTTTTTATAATCTTGGTTTTAATGATAATTAGATCAAATATTAAATTCTAAATTAAAAAAACCTAAATTATTTTTTTTGCTTTGAACCCGTCGTCATTGCTACTGCTATCATTATTGTCATCGTTATTGTTGTCGTGGTTGTTTCTGTTGCCATCGCCACTGTTGCTACCGTCACTGATGTTGTCATCGTCGCTGCTTATGTCGTTGCTGCCACCATCGCCTCTGTTGCCGCCATTGCCCGCGCCAATGCAAGAAAAAAAAATTTAGGATTTTTTAATTTATGGGTTAATATTTGATCTAATTATTATTTAAAAAATATTATAAAAATAATAATATAATTAATATTTTATTTAAATAATTTACGTTTAGTTTTTTAACTAAATTATAATTACATGTTAAGTACTTTATAATTTTAAAATTTTATAAATTAAATTAATGATGCTTATTGTTAGTAGTGTTCATCGATACTCGTCAAGCCTTGTAGGATTTTCGAAATGAATGCTATGATATTTTGAACTCGATTAGGATAAATTTATTCAAATTTTAAATATTATACTAACTATTAAAGTAATTCAAGTAATTTGTTCGTCAATTCATAGACGAATAACATAATTATTTAAAATCATAAAAACAAGATAAATAATTCATACTTCTTTCATAAAACACATACGAATCTCATGTATATATATGAATATAAATGAATTTAAATAAAATAAAATAATCTCCCCTGATATTTAGTACTAAAAATGGTAGTATTAAAATGAAATAAAAATTAAACTTTAAATATGTGTTATAAATTTGAAAGTTTAGGTATTAAAATGAATCAAAACTGAAAATTTAGATTCTAAATGCATGATTTATCCAAAACAAACTGAGTAGCCACCTCATCCTTTATATTTTATTGAAATTGGAGAGTAACGTATACATAATTTTAGGTATAATTTTGTTATTGTTCATGCATTCATTCATACTAATGCTACATCCTCGAGAAAGCGACCTTTATGATTTAATATTAATTGGATTATATGTATATTAGTGAGATGCATCATTTTAATATCATGTTGATTTTTTTTCTCCAAAACACTTTTTGCTCTATCTTTTTTATTTTTTTAGTTTTGGGTGACATCTTTGGTATTTTTTTATTTTTTATCTTGTAGATTTTTTAATAAATTCTATTTTTGTGACCTAATTTTTTTATGTTTTTATGACATGTTTCTTTATTTCTTTATATTTTTAATTTTATTTTTGGTTCGTTTAGTCGTTCTTATCGTTTAAATACCCCTAAACCCCCTCTAATTTAAACACAACAAATAAGAAAAATATGTTCATGACAACTCCCGCTTATAATATAATCTTTATCATTCAAAAAATTGAAACGAGAATCTAGTTCACTAAACTGTCAGTATAAGATATATTAAAATTTAACTAGAAATTCTCTGTATGATTTTGTGTTTGAACATTTGTATTTGTAAGATATATATGCATTATCAATTGATTAAAATAGTTTTGAATAAATATTATCTTAATAATTCTATACTATAAAAAATATATACTTTTCATCTAATTAAATGTTGAGCTTGGTTCTTCTATTAATTCATTCCATCTTTACGGTCACAAATCCTTTAACTTTTAGCTGACGGTTCACAAATACTTCACCTACTTAACTCTATAGAAGATATGACCAAATTTCCATAGATCATATTGGTTTTTTTATGCAAAATAAAAGTTTTAAGCAAATGCTAAACGTAAATAAAAATCAAATTAAGAATTTAGTTGAATATAATCACTACACCAAAATAGGTTTTAGCGGCGTTTTTTACTCATATAGCGTCGTTTTTAAGCGCCGCTAAAAACCTTTGTGGCGCAAAAACAAACACCGCAAAAAGTGCCACTGAAACAAACGCCGCAAAAGATAGCGGCGTTTTATTTATCTTTTCTTTTGTGGCATTTGTCCCAAAAACTCCGCTAAATAATCTGACATATAGTGGTGTTTGTTTCAAAAAAAGACAGCTAAATGTTCTGACATATAGTGACGCTTATTCCCAAAAACGCCGCTAAATGTTATGTCATATAGTGGCGTTTGTGAATGTAGAACGCCACTATTGCCTATGTATATAGTGACATTTTCTGTATAAATGCCGTAAAATAATTTTTTGATTAATATAATTTACTTAAAATAGTAATATCGTTAAAATCCTTATTAACGTCCTATTTGCTTATTGAACGCTTAATTGTAGATATAATTGTAGGTAAAATACTCACGATATAAGCCACGTTGTAAGAAATTTGCTTCTAAATAATTTAATTTACAAAATACAAATTCAAATATCTAATTAAATTGTTTACTACCTTTCAAAAAAATTGTTTACTTTCTAAAGAATAACTTAAAAAGAAAAGGCTATGAAATACCGGAGGAAAATGTGTGTTTTAACAATTTTTTAACTACCAACAATATTAGAAACAGTTGGTAATATGTTACAAGCTAAATGTACTAATTCAATTAAATCTCATAAAAATTATAAAAATCAGGAAAACTAATAAAAATTGATTAATTGGTAGAAATTAATTTCGTGATAATTTGAAATATGTTAAAAATCTGTTACGTATCATATTTTTTTATTATATTAATTAATTAAAAATAGTCTCATGGAGTCCAATATTTTAAATATATTCCAGACATTTAAATTTACAAATCATTTAATAAGTTTAAGTTTAAAGATCATTGTGAGTTGTGTCGTTTATTCATCGTTGAACATCAATTTATTTCTATAAATTCATAATCATAATCATATTTATAAGATAATCGGTTGTTAAAATGCAACCGATAGAGGTCGTAGCAGTTTTAAATGTGGATTACATCAGCTACATTTCGCCCAACCGGTTACCTTTTGCTTTAACTCATACTCAATAGCGCTGCCACTTTACACAACAAATTGTCAGCATCAAAAAACATTTGCTATCATTAGATTCCTAAGGCCTCAATTTCTTCAAACTTTAACTTTCATTCAAGTAATCTTTTTAGCCCCAAATATAAGTTGGAGTCAACTTATATAAACTTTTTATTAAAAAAATACACATTTTAGAATAATTAGATAAGCAAAAATATATGGTAAAATTATGTTGCCTCTTATACGGGAGATTAATCTCAAACAAGCTTAATCTTTTATAAAGGGATGAATTTTTAAAAATTTAGAAGAGAATAAATTTATAAAATTTTAGGATACAAAAATAGATTATTAATAAAACATATAAAAATATCTAAAATATGATAATATGAAGTAAAGTATTTAGCGGCGTTTATATAAAAATACCACTAAAGTATTTAGCGGCGTTTTTGCTTAAAACGCCACTAAACTACGACCGTTTGTGGTGTTTGAAAAAAATGTCACTAAACTACAGTATTTAGCGGTGTTTATATAAAAACGCCACTAAAGCACAGTATTTACCGGCATTTATTCAACAAATGCCGCTAAAAATGCCGCTAAAAACCCAAGTGAAAAAAGGAATATAACAACTCACTTGAACATAACTAAAAGATGACTGTAATAGCGAAATTAAGATTCAAATGAAATATGTGCTTGAATTTAAAATTAATGTTGATAAATTAATAGTGGTTTAATAAAAAAAATAAAAGTGTGTTGATAAAAAACAAGGTTAATGATCAATTAATTTGATGTTGTTCTATTCATGAAAAGTCTTCATAACATCAATTGTAACAATCTTATTTTTGGGCAATTATCGAGTAAGTCGATCATGAGTTGAATATTGCTTATTAAAAAAATTATTTCTTGAGTTGAATCATTATTTGTTAAGATTGATAATATTTTTCGTAACTTGTTACTCGACTCATTGTTTTTTAAGCTCACCATAAATTTTATCTTATTTTTTAACTATATGTAAAATCTAGTAAATTGATATTATTACTTAAATAATTTAATATTTTTTATTACTTATTAGAAAACTAATAAATTAAAAATTATTAATTAATAATTTAGCATCTACCTTATTATTTATCTTATTATCTATTAGCAAATTAACAATTATTAATTAAAATTTTTTAATGAAATATTTTTTTAAGGTAACTACTAAAAATTATAAAATAAATTAATGAATTTCTTATGAACTTGTCGAGTTGAATTAAATCTTGCTCAATTTAACTCGTTAAAATCTTAAATCAAGTCAATTCAATTCGAGTACTTATCAAGTTTTGGCCGAATTAAATAAATTCAATTTAAACATTTATCAAATTTTAATTAAACAGAATTCGAATAACTTACTCATGAGCCTCATTAAGCGATTAATGTTATTCAAGCCAACATTGGTATTGGTTAGAATACAAATACATTATACATAGACCTACAAGAAGTCACAGAAAATTCTTGGCCATCATCAGGCCAGGCCAATCCCCCGGACTCTGTTAAGAAAATATACAACTTTAAATTCAATACATAAGAAATCAAACAAGTCAATCTACTCATTGAAAATCGAAAAACTCGACGCCCCTTTCACAAAATACTTGGAGCTGGCCGTCACCGTAGTGGTCGAAGAAGACGAAGCTGCGGAAGCGGCTACCATGGCACCGGTAGTGATCAAAGCCGGTAAGCTCTTCGACTTAGGGGAAAACGAGTTATCATCGTTGATGAAATCTCTATCCTCTTCTTTGATGGTATCCAACATCTTTCTCGTTCTACGCCTCATGACGGTCACAAACTGCGGTGGAGCAACCTCCATAAACAACCTCGGGAGACGCGAACTCGCCATGTTTAGAAGCTAATGAAGAAGGAAATGGGTGATACATGGAAACCCCAAGGAGGAACAAGAGTTATAAGAGAACACACTGGTTTTGGATAAGATTTATAAGAACATGGTTTTGGCTTAAATTTTAACTCCTAGTGCCGCCACTAACGGCTGATATTAATTTTGCATGATAAATATATGATGTTTCCAGTACAAGTTCAAGAGAGAACGTTACGCTGTGGGGGGACCTTGCCATCTCCACGTGTCGAAGATTGAATGGAGATATTCGTTTTGTTGGGATCAATAATGCCTAATTTTTCACTTTTCCCTATCTCAGCCGGCATCACCTGTTGTGTGCCATGTGTCTGTTGGATGTTTTCCATTTGTCTACGGTATCATATTCACAACTCACAAGAAATTTCTTGACAAACTTGCCTGCCTATTCAAACGTCGGTCTACGACTCATCGTGTTTTGGGTTTATTTAAGGATGAGTACGATGGAATTCTAATTAATTCATGGTGAATATACAACTCTAACCTATAGAGTATTATTTTATTAAATCTTCTGTTTTGAAAATTGGATCGGATCGGCCGGTTCAATCGGAAATTATTGTTTAGTCCGGTTCAATATAAACCGGTTGAACCGCTATTAGTGAACCGGTCAGAACCGTTCGAACCGGACCGGCTGAAAACCGAAAAAAAACCGGGATTTTTGTTTTTTTAAAAAAAAAAATTAAACCAAACAACGTCGTTTGTTAAACGAGCCAAGTCGAACTCGAGTATTGCTGAGCTCGACTCGAACATGAAAACTTTAAAAGTAAGCTCAACTCAACTCAAACTCACAAGCTAAAAATTATCAAGTTCAACCCAAACTCGAAATATAATATATAATATTGAAACTTGAACTCAAAAAGGCTTGAACTCAAAAAAAAATTAGAAGCTCAATTGAAGCCTAAAATTCGAGCTTGATTGAAGTGAAAGAATAGTTCACTCAATGCTCACCAAAAGGCTCCATGATTTTGAATGTCAAATTACCTCTATTATTTATAGAAGTTAGTTGTGATGCGCTTCTATGTTTCTTAGCAATGTGAGATTGTTTTGTTCTCATATTTTTACTCTTTAAACTTTTGGGATGCTTTTCTATGTTTCTTAGCCATGTGTGATTGTTTTTTAAAAAAAATTAAACCAAACAATATCATTTTGTTATGATTTTTTTAACCTCAAATTTATTTTTTAATTATAGTTATATAATTATATTTATTATTTAGTATGTTTTACCTTAAATATATGTTGTAGTTAATTTGAATCATTTTGTTTCACTTGATTTTATGGTTTTTAACTTATATATGTTATGACTTGCTTTGAATATGACTTGTAATATAAAAAATTGTTTTTTATTAAATATTTTTGGTATTTTTATTTAATTTTTAAAACTATGACCGGTTCGATAACCGGTCCGGTTCTGAAAACCATAATTAAATCTCTCGACTATCAAAAATTATAAAATAATCCCTCGAACAATAGGGAATTGTTTTGTCGAGTCTCATTATTATTTAAAGTTACAAAATATCATATGACAAACTTGTCATTTTCCGTTAAAAAACTGACCATAGTTTGAGTTGGACATTAACCTGCTATTATGATATGATAAAATATGATTCTATAATCTCAAATGATTATCATAACTCAGTCAGCATGTTAACATCCAATTCAGATAATCCTTAATTTTTAACGAAAAAAGACGAGTTTGAAACATATGAATAGTCAAATGATCATTTTATAACTTTTAATAGTCGATGGACTCAACAAATGAATATCCTATTATCGGGGGTTATTTTGTAACTTTTAATAGTCATGGAACTCAACAAAACAATACACTCTAGTCAGGAGAGTTATTTTGTAACTTTTAATAGTTGAATACTCAACAAATTAATGTCATATAATCGGAAGACCATTTATATACTTTATCCTCAATAAATTCATAATTTACAAATTTAATAATTGAACTATCTTATCACTTTTATTTTATTTTTAATTTTTTTCAATTTAATAATTAAATGTATACATTTTTTAACACTCAATCATTCTCTCGTTAACAGAATAATTGTATGACTTGTTGGTGTATTATAATATGCCATAGGATGTATAATTTAGACAAATAAAATAAGGGATGACACATAATTTTTTTAATAGTTTTTGAATTGTTGATCAAGTTGTTTCATTTCTTCCCCATTATGTGTTGCGGAATACGACTATCGGATAGAGTAAAATTGCAACTGATAATTTGAGAAAATAAAAAATAAAAATAAAGAAGACACAAATTTTACGTGGAAAACCCCTAAATAATATAGGGTAAAAACCACGGGCAACGGTAGAAGAATTTCACTATAAGAAAATAGAAATTACAACTTCTCTCGATCTAATAAGGAGAAAACAATAACAATTCTCTTTTGATAAAAAAGAGAAAGCAACTTTCAAGAAAACTCTCTAAATTCTCTAGTATTGAGAAAAAACTAGAATGATTTGGGATGGTTTTGAAGCTAAATAAGTTAGAGTATTTATAGTTGAAGCTTAATGACTAATCTTGTAAATACCCTAAATTAAAAGGACTAATTTAGCAATTTTACCATTACCCAAATTCAACAAAAACCCAACTACTTTTCGATGCCCCATTTTTTAATTCATTTGGTGCATTGCACTTTCGGTGCAAAGTCCAACATTCAACAATCTCCCACTTGAAGATTTGATTGGAACAATCATATCTTCACACCATTCTTTCTACCTTGTACCTTCATGTTGCTTACGTCTCTGATAGGCCACAAGAGGATCGACACCAAGTAAATTTATCAACATTGATCGCCTTCGTCATGAAATTTGTTATGTTGTCTTTGGTATGGATCTTCTGCATATCTAATGTCCCTTATTCCACCTTCTCACGAATAAAATGGTACTGAACTCGTATGTGTTTTGTCCTTGAATGAAATGTTGGATTCCTTGCTAGATGCAAGACGCTTTGACTCTCACAAAATAGAGAGACATACTCTTGATTGTGCCTAGGCTCCTCTAATAGCATCTTCAACCAAATTGTTTCTTTACTGGCTTGTGTAGCTGCTACATATTCTGCTTCTATTGTGGATGTAGCCACAACTGACTGCAATTTTGAAACCTAGCTTACAGCTCCACCAGTAATTTTGAACACATATCCTGTAGTAGATTTGCTTTTATTCAAATCCCCTACATAGTCAGAATCAACATACCCATTGATAATTAAATTTGATCCTCCATAACATAATGCAATATTTGGTGTCCCTTTGATGTATCTCAGGATCCTCTTTACTGTATTCCAATGCTCTTTGACTGGATTCACCATGTACCGACTAACCACTCCCACTGCTTGTGCAATGTCTGGTCTTGTGCATATCATAACGAACATTAAACTTCCCACTGCCGATACATACGGTACTCGAGACATCTCCATCCTCTCTTCTTCACTGCTAGGACTCACACTGGAGGATAATTTGAAGTTAATAGAAATAGGGGTATAAATTGGCTTACAATCTTGCATGTTAAATCGTGACAAGATTTTCTTCAAGTAATTCTTTTGTGAAAGTCAAATCTTCATATTACTTCTGTCTCGGTGAATTTGTATCCCTAGAATCTTGTTTGCTGATCCAAAGTCCTTCATTTCAAATTCCCTAGCCAGTTGTGCATTCAATTCTTCAATATGATCTATGTTGGGTCCTGCAACCAACATGTCATCAACATACAACAGTAATATAACAAAATCGTTGTCACCAAACCTCTTGAAATAAGCACAAGGGTCTGCATTAAGTCTATTGTATTCAAAGCACATAGTGAAGGAATCAAATCTCTTATACCAATACCCCGACACCTGCTTTAAACCGTATAGAGATTTGTTCAACCTACAAACCAAGTTCTTCTTTTCTTCTTCTTCAAAACCTTCAGGTTGGAGCATGTAAATCTATTCTTCAAGATTTCCATGAAGAAAAACTATTTTAACATCTAGATGCTCTAGATGTAAATTTAGTGTAACATACATTGCCAAGACTACTCAAACTGTTGTTAGTCGAACCACATGAGAAAAGATTTCATTGAAATCAATACCTTCTTTTTGAGCATATCCTTTGACCACCAGTCTTGCACGATACCTCTCAACTTGATCGTCACCATTTCGCTTGATTTTGAAGACTCATTTGTTATCAACTGGCTTCCTTCCTTGTAGTAGTGGCACAAGGTCTCATGTATTATTTTTATGAAGGGCTTCGATTTCTTCTTGCATCGCCATCATCCACAGTGAAGCATCTGAGTTGTTTATTGCCTCATTGTATGTTGATGGCTCACCGTCATCTGTTAAAAGGCAGTATGTAATATTTCTTTCTATAACATAATATGAGTGTCAATTGAGACGTCTTCTCACATGATCTGATTTACGAGTTGTTGGAGCTTCAGAACTCTCTGGTTCTTGTTCATCATGTGTTGGTTCTGCTTCAAAAGAATCTCCTTGTTAAAACTTCTTTTCCACATGTATCTGTGTAGTCTCTGACTTTTCAGCGCTACCATATTTTTTTGTAACTTATCTTCTACAAAGATAACATCCCTGCTAATGATCACTTTGCGGGCAGTGGGATCCCACAAGCGATACCCCTTTACTCCATCAACATACCCCAAGAATTTGCATTTCTTGGATTTTGAATCATACTTTAAAATTTCTTAGGAGTTGTACATCACATACACAATACTTCCAAATACATGTAGGTTTGAATAATCAATTGGTTTACCAGTCCACATCTCCATTGGTGTCTTCAGCTCTATTGCAATTGATGGAACTCGATTCACCAAATAACAGGCGGTATTGACTGCTTCTGCCCAAAATAATTTTTATAGGCATGCATCTCTCAACATTGCTCTTGTTCTTTCTAACAAGGTTCTGTTCATCCGCTCTGCCACTCCATTTTGTTTAGGAGTGTTCTCCACTGTGAACTATCTTTTGATGCATTCTTTCTTGCAAAAGTCATCAAATTCTTCACTTATGTATTCTTCTTCATTATCTGTTCTGAAACACTTGATCTTATTTCTAGAATTAAGTTCCATCCATGCTTTGAAGTTTTTT